AACCTTTGTTCTTTTTCTGCCACTAAAATGACCTTGTTCTCGCGTCCTATGACCACTGACGTAGCTGTATAGTCGTGGTCTATAACTAGGCAAAGTATAGTCGTGTTCACAATAAAATAAAATAAAAAAAATTGATCATCGAGTAAAAATTTGCTTCAAAACAGAATATTTTCACATTTCGTGTAAGTAACAATTAATTCTTCTGTATCTGAAAATCTTCTGATGGGAAGAAATGCGGAAATTTTTAGTTATTATTACCGACTCCCGAAGGTACCGAAAGAACCGGAAATTAATAATTTCGAGTCCCGGTTCTTTGATATTTCAAAAGAACCGGGAATTTCCGGTTCTGAACCCTAGTTACCATAATATCAAGAAATTATGTTTTTTAACAACAATTTAACAAAATATTGCTTATGTTTGGACTAAATTTTCTCGAATCGCAGTCGCAGTTTCCTATGAGAGCCAATGGCAAGTTGCAATTGCGATTTTAAAACCGATTGAATCGAATTTTACCATTTGTTGCTTATCTCAACTATGTATTATGTCATTCATTAAGATTTGTGATGTGTGATTTTAAAAGTGAATATGATTGTTATAAAAGTATAAATTAAAGTGCATGGGTTATCATATTATTTCAAAAAAATAGTTTCTCTATTATCCCTAAGAATATAAATATCCAAGCCGCCACTGGGTTGGTTTGTGCGCCCGATTCGGCGCTGTGTAATTAAGAAACTTCTCGAAGTTTTTGCGTATGGATGCTGGTTAGCGATGGACGCGCCGGAACAACTAGAGATGTCCACTCTAAGAAAAATATCGATATACATCTTTTCGATAATTTTCATTTATACCCGGTGCGTCTCAAAAGTGGCCCACCCCCAATAACTTTTTTATTTTTTCAGATAAAACAACGAGATTTGGTATGTTAGTATATGACATAAATTATAAATTAGGATTGATTGACATATTCCATTGTTTTCGATCGCTTCCGGTTTCACCGGAAATGACTACAATTTTTGATTTTTAAGTGGGACCCTCGGTATTTTTTTACTTTATTCGATAGAAAATGACATTCTGAATAGAATGACATATCATATGTCAACTTTTGACATTTTCGCATATGGTTTATTTGAAATTGTAACCTACGGTTCATAAAGACAACTTCACTCGAAATACCGAGTGTGTGGTATCAAATTATTCGTAAAAAAATGATTTTTCGAATATGCTAATGAGCCACCCTCGTTCCATTTGACAATACACTACCCAACAAATATCTAGAATGATTCGCAAGGGCAGAGACAAGCAAAAAAGTTCATAGTAGATCATTCGCCAAAATTCACAGCAGATCTATACAGGGTGTTTCAAAAAACATTTGCCATCTCTCGTGGGGAGATTTATTATAACTTTCTTCCAAGTACCTTTACCGTTTCAAATGAAATTTTGAGGGTAAATGTTACTGTAAATTCGACATATTTTAAAGCTAAAAAGTGTGGACATATTCACCAGGGACGTGCACACGGGTTATCACTGGAATATTTTTCTAAAAAAACATGTACGCCACTGACTTTTTTTCTCTCGTTAGCGAAATAGTGTAAACAGTTTAATGCCGATTAAAAGTTGTCTCTTGATATTTTGTCGATTTCGGCTTCCTTGATTAGATAAACGCAATTTAATTAATTTGCGTTAATACAAGTCTAACAGCAACCTCGAAAAAATTTAATATTGTTACGTTTTTTCTCGAACGAATGAATCATTACGGTGTCTATTCTTTAATGCGATGTTAAGGTCATCTGAGGGCGGGACATATAGTTAGGTTAGGTCGAGTCCACACGGGTCCGCAACAATATCATTAACTTGAGAAAGTTTTAAATAGGTACTTATATATTGATTTCTTATCAAAAATATAAAAAAAGTTCTTATAAACATGGGCAAGGAAATCCATAGTTTTACAGTTACAGGATTCACAACTTCCATTTTTTAACAAATTTTCAATCCCGGAGCGTTGAAAAAATAGATTTGATCGTCTAATGTTTTTCGTGTCTTATCCTGACCGGTTAAAAGATGCTCAAATCGTATTTTTAATCATACCTCAATTTTTTCCAATTGAACGAGGGTGGCTCATTACCAGATTTGGAAAAAGCATTTATTTACGAATAATTTGGTACCACACACTTGGTATTTCGAGTCAAATTGTCTTTATGAATCGCATGTTACAATTTCAAATAAACCATATGCGAAAATGACAATGTTTTCTAATATCGATATTTCGACATGTCGATATTTTCGAACATCCCTACTATAGGTACGCCGGAACGACAAACGCCGAATGGAAGTTTAATGACCATCGAAAAATCCGTATTCTAATATTTATCGGAGGTTTTTGTGTGTCGTATAATGCGATGCCGAGATACGAACTAAATTATTGGTCGGTGGTTTTTTTGATCGGGATTCCGAGAATGGCCTGTGGACTGGACATACACGACCGTGTTGTTTCGATTTCGTTCATGCGAATGGCATTGAACAGGTGCCATTGAAAATACTCTTTTTGCAACATACGGATCTCTTTTTTAGTCTGTGTAATATCGTTGATACAACGGTTGTGATGATTTGCCAACGACACTAAAATAATAATGTGTTACCCCTTTGACGCGTCATTGAAAGACATTCAACATTTTAAGGTTTTGTAAAAAATATTGTTGTAGAATCTACTGATAAATAATCACCACGATCTTACAGATCTATTGTGTCCCCATTTCTTGAGTTATAACTCATGATACAATCTCAAGGCTTTGACAAAAGCCAGTATCTGAGACGGTTTTACAGATTAGTTCTCCATCTGCGATATCAGTCGTACCAAAGTTTATGGCACGAACAGTTGTCGTCTCGGCGCACTCAGTTATGAGGTGTTCTGGTGTTTCCCCATTTTCCCCACAGAATCTACATTCGCCGTTATTTATCCGCTTCAATCTACTGAGGTGTTCGTTGAGGAAACAGTGTGACTGTTAAAAAACTCGTGACAATCCCAAGATTATTCTTACTTAAACCAATGAAAATCTTTGATTTTTCAATTGGCAGTAAGCGCCTTAAAAAATAAAGAAAAGGAAGGGTCAAATAAATGATTCTAGATTTTTCTCGGTCGTAAGTCCTGAGAAACTTCTTAAAGTGAGTTCCATTCCAAATTACGGATGTCTGGAGTCTTCCAGGTTCTTGAGTTCTGCTTTTTACCTTCTATTCTTTGCTGGCTTGGCACCCAGAGTAAGAGGACTTTTTTTCTATTTCAACAGTAATTGCTAAATTTAAACCCCAAAAATTTGCTTTTAAACCCCAACTTGCAGCATTCGAGATCTAGTATATAAACTTACTGAAAGAAACTACAATGTTAACTATATGTGGATTCTTGGACACTCTGGCATTGCTGGTAACGACCGAGCAGACAAACTGGCTAAAGAGACACCGCTCTTACAGAATATTGAAGGAACTCCATCCGTTGTCAATTTCAGAAATTTACACAAAAAAGTGTTCTTTAATATACTTACTTCTTCATCTGTATCAAAATATATATTCTCTTGAACGCGGATCTTTCTGTAATGTTGTTAGAACCCTCACAGGACACTCATATCTTACCAAATCGAGGTGGCTTTATCCTGACGAAAGTTCAAACTGTCGAAACTTTCGTGTAGTATCGGGGGCGGTCGTGCGGAGCCGACTGTAAACCGCCTAAGCTCCTCCTCCTTTCTTCGTTTAGGATATGTCTAGGCCGAAACAGAATAAAAACGTGTTCTTCTTTCAAATTTTTGGGCAAATAGACAAAAATTTGACGTTTATCCCTAGATCATATATATAGAAATACATTTTTAAGATATTTGTATACTGTGTTTGTATATAAATTATACCGTATGATCGAGAAAAAACGGCGTCAGCGTTGGCTATGAAATGAAGATCGCTGTCATTTTATATGTAAATTTATATGGGAAATGTCATCGTCAAATGTTCCAGCCAGCAGACATTTTTTTCAAGTCATAAATTATATATGATCTAGAGATTTATCATGTGACGAGCAGATTTTATTCAAATATTAAATTAATTTTTAATAGCATTATGTAATAGTTAATATCTTTTATGGGTAATTACCCTTTTATGTAAATATTTTTTAACAATGAATGATTTTGAATGTAACATTGATTTTTGATTTAGTGCTGGTTGATTTATGATGTTTTCATAATGTTTTCCGTTAAATGAAATTTATATTTATGAATTAGTTTTCAGCGGAGGGCTTTAGTAAAAAATTCGAACCTTAGTAACCGTTTTCTTTTTACCAAAAAGGTAGATATTTTTTTATGTTAGAAGTTATAACTTAATTGGGCATTGGGCATCAGAATAAACATGTGAATATCTTGACTTGGTGTTTGTTGTCTACTTTAAGTGGTACTGAATTTATTAAAATAAACGTTGTTTTCTACATTTCTGTTTTATTTCAATAACAAAATACTGGTCCTACACCAGTGTAATAACAAAGACATCTAAATTTTAGCCGAACACACGCTGACCATTTTATAATTGATTTGGTCGATTTATGATAGAATTGCAGGAATTGTATCACCTTCAACGAAATCAGCTAAGAAGTATTTAAAATATTAAAACAAAACCTTAGAGGGAAAAAATAAAAGGCAAAACCGATTTTTAAAAGAATTTAATATAAGTATTCCAAAAAAAATATTTTAACGCCACATGATGTAACACAAAAAGTAGGTAAACATCAGTTATAAAAAAAACATTAGAAATTTATACAGTATCCTTTAAGCTAGGCTCACGTTTTTCTGCAGAAATAAGTATTTTAATTCAACACATTACTCCCATCACAATAGCACACTAACTTATATCCAAATGGTTAAGCTCCGCATTATGAATATTCTTCACCCGGTCCATTTTCAAGTGAGAAATAATGTAATTTTGATCTGATTTATAAACAATATTATTTCAAGCTAGAAACTTTGCTTTTAATCTGCCATGCTGATAATTGCTTTGGATTTGTATTAACATTTTCAGGGTTAGAGTTCAGTATAGTTTGATGTTGAAACCCTTTCTAACACAATCTCAGCTGCAGGCTTCAGGTTTACATACTATTCATACGCTGTAGATTTTTGACCTAAAAGAATCACTAAATATAGAAAAACTATGGGGAAAAAGTGTTTATCATAAGCCTTACTTTTTGCTTTGATAAGGATATGGCCTGCAACTTTAGGCTTCCATAATCACTACAAAATCTTGCTTAACACACGCCTCCTATTTCCTTTCAATTTCTGGAAATTTGTAAGAATTCATGGTGAACACTACTAATAATTTCCGTGTTTCTTATATCTTTGAAAACTCCACTGGGCAGTCTGGGCTAGCATTTAAAATAAATATCAAAACTAAGGGCTTCTATTTTCTATGTTATTCACAAGTTAAATTTTTGGTTTGTACCGATTCCGCATTTCTAGGCTTTCAGGTTCTAATTTTGCAAGATAACTTTACATTTTAAAGTATTTTAAGTGTATATTTCCACCAAAAACAAATTGCGTTGACTTTTGTTTACAATTTAAAATACAAATAACGAGGGGAGGAGCCGAGATTCGATAACTTCTAATCGGGACCATTCGGTTTACCGTTCGCTTGCGTTCGGGTTTTCGATAACTTGGGCTTTCGAGAGTTTATGGTTCTCCCACCAAATCATATATTATCAGAAATGAACCTCCTCCGAAATGCACCTTATGCAATAACTTAATGTCAATGAGACACATTCTTTTTGAATGCGTTACCTGTTGCCTCCCATAGGTCTAGATTCTTTAATGATGTTACCTATGAGAATATTTTTGCGCCTTTCAACATTTCGAAGATTAATAAAATTATGGAATTCTTAGACAGCATCAACATAACGAAAAAACTTTAATTTCTAATAATTTAAAATAACTTCTGCTGTCCGTGTTGACAGCATTTTCCAAAACCAGCGAATTATCGTTCTATTCACCCTTCTTGTTTCTAGAAATCGCTTGATTACCTTGTTGGGTATGTTGTGAAATGCCCCCGCAATGCCCAATAAGGCACAAAGTGCTGTTACTTTGCTATCTAGGCTTGCCTGTATTAGCTCCGTTTTCTACTCTCAGTCGTAAGTCCTGGGAAATTTCGTCGAGTGTCTCTTCTCAGTTAGAGGATTTCCATTCCAAATTATGGATGGAGTCTTCCAGGTGCTTGAGTTCCTATTTAAGTTGGTTTACAATTGGGAAGCAGAACGGTTCTGGTCCAGTTAGCGGAGCGTTTGCTCTTTCTTTAGCTAGATCGGTTGCTCTTTTACTAGGTACCTTTATCTCTTGGTAGCCTGGCATCTAGAGTAGGAGGACTTTATTTTCTTTATCTAATTTGTTTAACCTCTCTAGGCATTCTTTGACCAACTTTGAATTGATGGTTACTGAGTTGATCGCTCTTAAGGCTGCTTGGCTATCGGATAAGATGGCTCTTTCTTGTTTCCGATAGTTCCTATCGCTGTATGCAGCTGGCAATAGTTTCGGAGAAACTTTTTTTTTGTTTTTATTTAAAAAAAATAGGGGTTAGTATATTTGATACCAATTAAATTTTTAGTTACCTAATCGATGGCGAGATTTTTAAATTCATTGTTGCCAACCGTAGATATATTCGGCGCCGGGCTGACTAACTGGAATTTAAATTTTCCGCTGGGATTCAGGTGGTAGCTCTGCTGTAAAAATTGTCAAGTTGCCACATTTATTTATTTATTTCCTAATATTAACATTCGATTTGACACTTTAGTTTTGTATTACGAGTTTTTGGTTCAAATGAATTATTGTGTTCTGATATTTTAAGCTTAAACATTTTTACTAGCAGACCTTGCAGTCAAACATTGTTCTTTTTAGAACCTCCTTAATGCGAAGTGGTACAAGATAGCTTAACAGCCGTAAAAAACTCATCGCAACTTTATTAGAATATTTTGAACAGGGAAGCGGTAGTAATGGCCCTTTATGTCCCTTAAGTGCTGTTAAGAAGGTGAGATTTGTTGATGTCAATAATAACTGTTTATATATTTATAATTATTATTATTAGTATTTTAATAAAGCACGCTTTTAGATGTTTCAAAAAACTTTTAATAAGAGTAACTTTAACTCAACATATATGTTTCGGCTTGTTAGGCCTTTTTCAAGAGTTTTTTAAGAACTTAAAAAACTCTTGAAAAAGGCCTAACAAGCCGAAACATATATGTTGAGTTAAAGTTACTCTTATTAAAAGTTTTTTGAAACATCTAAAAGCGTGCTTTATTAAAATACTAATATTTCAACGATGTTTCACAAGGAACCAACCACAGCTTCAGTACAATTTATTTATAATTAATTTATTTTTGTTTCCTAAAATATTTTAATTAAAAGAAAATATATAAAAGTGGGCAACGCTGTGCCGATCAAGCTTAATCACGTGACTAAAAGTTGATTTGACGTGAACTATAAATAAAAATTACGTTATTTCGTTAATAGAAAAAATATTATCTATGAAAAATGAGATGTAAATAAAAAACGTGGAAAATGCACCACAAGAGGTCGTAAGGCTTGGTCTTAGTTTTGCAGATCTAACTCTAGTCTTAATTGTTAATTTTACTAGACGAGGTTTTTGTTTTTTTAATAAAATAAGATTCTTTCATTTGCAGACTCACGTTCACGATCTGATAGCCGTAAAATAATCTTTCTTGGGCGTGATCGTGTGACATTTTTTTCTGCACCCCTAAAGTATTAAACTAAGCGCCGCCACTGTGAACGACATCCCCGCTTTGCATCTTTCGGCCATATCGAAACAGGTATACAATAAATCGCGGTATTTGTTCAGGTAGTTTGAGATTTAAATTCGAGCGTAATATTTTCCCAGCTCTCCGATACTTTATGGCCGTATCGGGTCTCACCTTTGTAATCCCGGGATCGAAAAAAAAACAATAAGAAAAACGAAAACACGAAGCAGCATCCAATTTAGTTCGGTTGTCCAATCTATCTCGCGAGCAAAAACAGCCTTGGAATACTTTACGAGATGATGAGGACGATGATGATGATCAGGGGCGGATCTAGGGTGGGGCCATTACCATCGTACCACAGGTCGTACCGAGTAAGAGAGGCCAGACAGCTGCGATGTAAAAGTCTGATAAATTCGTCGTCGTGCGTTGTTTGATATACGTCATCAAAGTAAGGCTCTTAAAACTTAACCTAAGGAAAATCTCTTAAAACTTACCCTACTAACAAAATACTCAGTTTTTTTGGTCTCTGTTGGATTAAGGCAGCGGTGTTTACAAAAAATAACTATTTTATTTTGTAGATTTTTTCTTAGAGTGCAAGTGGCGAAATACCCATAAGACTAAAATTCTACGTTACTCTACATTAGGTCCCCGGATTGTCCTTCAATAGGAAAAATGTATTATTGAAAATGCATTATTCATAAAAAATTTTGCTTCTTCCCAAATGGTTAATCCAGTTTATACTTTTCCAAATTTCCATACTTTTTTAGAGAAAATTAAGAAAACATGAAAATATGGTTGAATTTTTTCTAATTCCTTAAAATCAAAAGACGTTCTTATGGTAATATCAGTTCGATCTCCATTCTATGCTAGATCGCTATTATTAATTTTGATTAACGTCATTCTTTGCTGCTGTTAAACTATCGTATTTTTACTACCCTTTCCGTAGCATTTAATTAAATAAAATTTGAACTTATTTCACATTCTAACAAAAATAAATATTACGTTAATGAAAATTCTATGAATAACAATCTATCAAAGAATGACAACGTTATATTATCCCTATACTTCGAACCGCGTGTTGTTTTTTAGGACTTAGGAAAAAAATTAACTATACAGGATGAGTCTTAAATAAGTGCACATATTTTTAGGGGTAGTATATTTCGACCCCAGAAACACGATTATGAGTTTTTTTCGTTTTTGGAAATTTTTTAGGTTTTGGTGAAAAAATATAATTTTCATTTGTAATTAAATACAATTATTTAAATATAATTGAAAATAAAATTTTCAAAGTAAAATATCTCGGTTTTTTTTAGATTTATTTGAAAAACGATAAAAAGAAAATATGTTTCTTTTATCGAGATCTACCAGCCCTGAAAAGATTTCCACGTATTTAAGACTGTAGTAGACCCTATATTTTCATGTTTTTTAATTGTTTTCTAAAACGGTATGGAAATTTGGAAAAGTATAAACGGGATTAATAATTTTAGAACAAGCAAAATTTTTATGAAGAAGGCATCTTTCTCAAAATGTCAATAATAAAAAGGTTTTTCCTCTTGTAAAGACAATCCGGGGACTTACTGCATACAGTCTGTTGCATCGCCAACCTAAATATAATATAAAATCCCAAAGAATTTCAAATAAATAAATATTTCTGTAAAATAAAATGGAGAAAGCTTTAATTTTTTTTCGGTATTTTGGTATTCTCGTTGCCGTGCGAATCATTTTCTGGATACGCGTTGAGCACATATTGGCAGCATCGCAATTTCTCAGGTATCTAATAGTCAAATGTGGATAAAAAAAATGTCAATGTCACATGAATTTCACAACCTGTTTGTTGGGTTATGTCTTTGAATAAGAAGACTGGGATATGTTGTTTTATTTGACGTTGTGAATAAATGTTGGAAGTTATTAAAATTGTTACAAAAATATATAATTCTAATAAAAATAGATAAGTTATAATCATTATTTATCAACACACACATCCGATACGCTACTGAAGCAGGTAAATCTGGTAAATCAAATTGACGTATCTAAATTCTTTGACATCTAATCTTTGACAAATAGTAAATAAAAGCAAAAATTCAAGAAAAAATATATAATTAGTTAATTTACGTGAATTTCATAAATGATCGGTTTACTACACGTATGTATATTATACCTATAGTCACTTACTAGCGAAAAGTTGTTCCATTATTTCACTCGATTTTTGCCGAGATCTACCGCACGCTACACAACCAACTATTTTAGAGTCTTTTTCGATAAATCGCGATAGTGTCACTGTTAATTTAAGTTCTGCCACAATTTCCATCTAGATTTACTACCTTTATACAACTATCAGTCATAAACTGACTTGATTTGATTTGAAAAACGCTAAAAGTCATAATATTTTTCCCTCCAGCGCGACCGGTGGTTCGTCACAGAACTAATAAATTTGTGTATAACTGGTTGCGGTGAAAAAGTCCTTTCAAAGATCTCAATTTCAGTTTCCCATATATTTTAGTTTGTATATGCTATCAGTAGTAGAATAAATAATAAATAACATGAAATAAGCTCCGTAATGACTGACAAATCCATAAAATTTCAAATCAAATTCAAATGTGTCAAATGAATCGTCAAACAAAACTGTCAAGGATCCCCACCCTAGAGTGCTTTTTCCTCCCACCATGCATGAATACATGGATAGCATTATGCTCCTTCCTTAGTCTTCTTATTCAAAGGGTTATGTCAACCTATTTTTCTATGGATATGTCTTTCTTATTATACGAGGGAAATGTTAAAGACGCTTGACGCATTTTCGATGTTTTGAACAATACTTATAACTGCTAAGTCGTAAATTATCAATTACTTATTGAGGAATTTATAGAAGACAAAGTAGTTTTCACTAAAGAGCAAGGGAATGCACAAAATCACAATTTTTTTCTATTTTTACTGACAG